TCTAGGCCACTGCAGGAAGGTTACTAACTAAAGGGAAAGGATTGGCTGTCTCAACTGAAAACTCTTGTGTCCCCATTCCAGTACATGAAGCAGCTTTATAGGTGATATTTTATATGCTCAAAAGTCAGAGAAATGTGTATTTATTTAAATAAAACCCTTGAAGTGTGTGATGTTGCCAAATCAAAAAATTGACATTTCCGATTCATTCAAATAACTCTTCATTTCTAGCATGATGCAGTAGCAGTCGGAAGTAGTGGATCTGAACGGGACCTACCATTGTGGGTCAAATGGTAATTTGAAGTAACTTGTGATTTAGGAGTTGAGAATGGTTGATAAGGAGAGCACAGTACAACAAACATGTTGTTCATGCACTTACACTGTCAAATTTGCTTTTTGAAGGCAGAGAGTATTCATAGTACTTAAACTATATGTGTGTTCATCTTTACAAAGCTACTGTCACCTTTTTTTATACTTAGGAAAAGGTAACTTGAACTCCACAGTTAAGGTGCAGCCTTCAAGTGTGTATAACTAGGACGTTGTATTCTTCATCAGTGATTGTGTCTCAGAGTAGCACTGTGTTTTGTGGGTTTTTTTCATTTGTGTGTTTTTTACAGTGAGTGAAAAAGACACCTGGATCTTTACCCAGTCCTGGTTAGTTTCAGGTTTCCAAGCCTGCCACATACAGGCAAATTAGACCTTTTCACCATTTCAGTATGTGCTAACCTGAAACTGCATCCTGACTCCAGCATATTGCTAAAATTTTGTATTTGCAATATATGGATTACAGGGTGGGTGGACAATGACATACTTGGTCTGCATGCACAATAGGCAAGTTCCCAAGGCTTTTTTGTTTTAGAACTGAATTCCTTTCAAGAGGATATATCTTCTCACTACAGCTGTTCCCGTAGCGACTGTTTATCTGTGAATTGCATTACTTCTGTTGTATAAGAAGGCTATCTTTTCCTTGACAGATGTACCTGTTCTACGTATTGTGTGCCCAGTGTCAGTTTTGACTGTGTGTTCTAGCACCATCCCAGCTGAGAATTAGCTCTTTATTGTCTTAAAAGAATGCTTCACAGCGTAGCAACAGATGATTCTTGTGAAATGCAGAAGGTTTCCCTGCCCGTGTAATCTTATTCTTTGGTTTGGCAGAGAATACTTCATGCAAGAATGAAATAAACTCTCATTCTGCATCTAACGTTGCTTGCAGACCTGGCTTGTAGGTGAAGTCAACGCTGCCAACACTTGTTAGTTAGGTGGTTAGCTACTTGCAAGAGTTGCCTCCTTCGTGGAAGCTACATGTTCCAGACCTTTTGCTTTTTCTGATTCAGTCTAATTGGTTCTGGGAGGATAGTAGGGAGAAAAGCTGAGAAGTCAACAAGAAGTCTGTTTACTTCAGAATTGCTCAGTAAGCATAGCCGTACCAGCAGAGTGATTGAGGCAAGACCTGATTCCAGGGAAGATACTTGCCTTTGGAGATGAACCTTCTTCATCTGGAAGTTGCAGGATGGCAATGCTCCTGAAAGCTGCACTTTGGCCCTTTTGCAAAGACAGGAATGTTAAGTGTTACTGCACTCTGACTACCTGATCTCCTAGCAGTGTTTGATTTGTTTTTTTTTGTTGTTGTTTTTACAAACTTCATAAGAAGCCATGTGATATAAGCAGAAACAGAGGACTTCTAAAGATAAAAGACTTCTACCTTAGATTGTTGTCTATATTTTAGTTTTCTAAGCTGTTTTAATTTATCCATCACACAGGTTAGTTGATGGAAACAAGCTCCATTTATTTACAGTTTGGTAAATGGAATGGCCCTGGCAATTGCCTGTAGTGGTGAGGGTGATGCTGATACAGCCTGTTCTCTACAGACTGCAAGCTGACCAATGTAGTAAAGACTTATGACTCTGTTTCTCTTCTTTTTCTTTTTCCCTTCTCTTCCCTTTACCTTTAATACTTCTTTGTATTAAAACTATGTATTTCCAGCAATTTTTTATGAACTATATAGTCATATAGGTCAGCTTTTCCCTATTGAAGCTGTGGGGTATGCCTTGATCGCAAGTTGTTGTTTTGAGTGTTGTGGCGTAGGGAGGAAGTTTGTAACAAGATAGAAGGTAGGATTACAGTTTGGACTTTTATTTTAGTTGAGTAATTTAAATTCTTGGTAGCTTCTCCCCATCTGCTAAATAAGAATAAGCTTAATTAAGCCATGTTTAAGGTCTTCAAATAGTACATGCAGAAATAAGGGAATACGGGCTTTTATCAATTTACTTATTAAGAAACCACTTTTGTCCTACTTTACATCTCCATGCAAGAAAGGGAGCTCCTAGTTGGAGTTGCTTGCAATCCTGTCCTTTGGAAATTGTTGGTGCATTCCTCTGTCGTTATGTCAGTGTTGCCATGTGCTGATTTCCTAATCTCCTCTGCAGGACAGAATGAGTGGGAACTACTTAAGAGTTCTAGCATTTTGCTTTCTGTCAGTAGTTGGGAGGCTGTTATGTGAAAGCTCTTGTCAGTCTCTACGAAAAGCAGCTGCGCCTCAGAAATTAAAATTTTTCGTGTGTATTTGCACAAGTGTGACTGCAAAAGAAATGCTTGTCTCTAAGCCTCTGAAAACCTTGTTCGGATACAGTTCTGCATGTAAATTGGCTAAAAACCCTCTTCCAGTTACAGCAGTCTTCAAGCTCTCATGCAGGATACAGGAAAGAAAATAACCTGTAACTTGACTGAGGGAGATCCTGGTAGATATTTGTTGCGTATTACTTGGTACAGAATTCCTGTCTGTGAGGCTAATGCTGAGAAATACACTAGTGCTGCAGAGGAGAAAAAGTTCAGCTTTTTCCATCAGGGTAAATGAAAAGAGCGGGACCGTGTGCCTGAAAGGCAGGTTTATCAGAGCTGAGAGAACTGTTGCGTGTCTGAGTTGTGAATTGTATTGCAGCAGGCAGTAAGGTGCTGCTGGAGAGGTGTGTTTGAAGGTCTGTGGATGTAGATGGAAAGTTGAGGAATCCCATACAAGATTTTTTTGCCTCTTTACAACATTTTTTCTGACTGCTCATTTGTAGTTGAAGTGTCAAATGACCTTCTTTGAGTTTCCTTTTATTTCTGGTTGGTTTTCTTTTTTCATTGTGATGGGTTTTTTGGTGTGTTTTTTTTTTTTTTTATTGGGGGGGTGGGGTGGGTACAGACAGGGATTGTTGTTGGGAGATTTTTTGGTGCGGTGGGGTTTTTTGGGGGGGTGGGGGAGGTGTTTGGTTTTGGTGGGGTTTTTGTTTGCTTGTTTTTTCATAATCCAGGAGTAGTGATACTTAATTTACTGTAAGTCCCAGAATTTGTGTATCTCTTTCAAGAGTATTGTTCACATTGTGATGTCTAATTTGGTTTTTAACAGGCTAGTTGCATTTAATGTGTTCTGCTGTGTCTTAAGAATTTGAAGATAAAGTGATTACATGTAAATTCAAATGATAAGTCAAAAGCATTTCCTTATAGCTGCCTGCAGCCTTTGCTACAGTCAATGTTTGGAGATTACTGGGTTTGGGGCCCCAACAGGAAGTGAAGGAATAGGAAAGCCTTCACACTAGAGATGCTAAGCCTATAAAGAGCTATTAACATCTGCAAAAAACTGTTTAAATTTGTGCTCACTTAACACAGTGCCACAGAAGTATCCAGGATTTAAGCAGTCCATACTGCACTGAATTCACAAAGTCTTTGTCAGCTTGTAAAGAACAAGAGAACTCTCCAGTGCTCTTGATGGCTAGATCCTTCATCTCAGGCACTGAGGCCATACCTAGCTCTTGCCTGATACATGTAATTAGGAAAAATTCCAGTAGGAAGGGTGATGACTTCACCTTTTTTTGCAGATGCAGAAAAGGTAAATGTGGCTCAATTATGGTCCTCCACTACAGTATATTTTAAGAATATCAGATGTTGCTGAAGCGGTAAAACTGTGTGTCAAAACACAATTATTGATAAAAACACAGTTATTGATAATTTGTTTAAAATAGAGTAACTCGAGTAAATTTAGGCAGAAAATTAAGTCAGGTGTCCCTGTTTGTGTATCTGGACTGCTTCTGTCAACAAATACAATTATTAGCAACTGTATTGGAGTACAATAATGTATTAAGGTTACTGAAGTTGAGATAGGAGGAAACATTATCAGTAGCGGTAAATACAAACAGTGGTGTCTGGAAGCGCAGCAGCAGCTTTCTCCTGGTTAGTCAGGGCACTGTGGGATTTTATTTTTTTTTCCCCAAAGGCCTTACGTGTGTCTGTTTTTAATCAAAACTAAAATTTTGTTGGAACTGGTTATAATCCATGATTCTTTAGGGATGGATAGGTCTTGGCCAAAACCAGGATGTTAGGGCTGCACATGTTCAGTGCCGAGCTTTCTCTTTGTAATGGAAAGGCCATCCTGTTTTTCTTGCTTATTGCTCTTAACTGTTAGCTTTTTCCAAGTGCAGGAAAACAAGTCACAACACATAATTTGCTCAGTCTTGTGTTGGTTTTTTGTTGGTTTTTTTTTTTTTTTGTGGTCTTGTAAATTTGCTTGGATACTCTATGCGTAGGACCTTTAAAATTCAGGCAGTTAAAGCATTTAGGAGAACCAAGTTAAAACGGAAACTGCTGAAATATCATGTGCATATCTCCTTGAACTGTCGTAGCTGCTTATGCATCTGACCTTTTAAAGGGTCTTGCTTTGTTTCTGGTTTGCATGGTCTGCTGTAAAGTCTGTTGTGAAGTCCAAGTAGTTGATCCTTATCTGGAGGCTCTTTTAAATGCTGTGCTGCCCTAGATTGTTACTGTGAAAAAAGAAATGGAGATGCCAGGAAACAACACAAAAAGGCAAACTCTTGTGAAATACTTCACAGGACTTTGGGACTAAAGAATTCATTTTTGGTGCTACCATGTTGGTATATTTCCTGCAAAATTTCTTCAGGCGTGACTCCATGCTTTTAAAGGCCGTGTGCTAAAGTTAGGACTAGGATTTTGGGAGTACTCAGAGTATTTTTGAAGTTGTGCTGCTTTTGTGCTGCAAAAACTTTTTCACAGAGGATAAAATTTATTTGCTGATGTAACAAAAGAATTCTTCTAAGGCTTAAGCATTCTAAAAAGATGGGTTTAAAATCTGGCTTCCCTTCTTTCTTATCCTGACAGTATTTGAAATTACTTTGGTTTTCCTTCCAAATAGCAAATGGTTCTTGTGACTGTAATTAACTACAGTTAATTTTTATGAAGTTTTTTTTCCAGCACAACCCTGCCAGCAGCAATACTAGATCTTGGTGCTGTTTTCATCATCTTCAGATGGTAGGCTGTTTTTGGTGTTCCTCCTCTGCAGTGTCAACGCTATGTCCAGTTCTCTCAGCTGCTTCAAGAAACCCCGGTTTGGCAGAATGCATCGGTGTCTTGACACTTGCTCAATGGCGTCCACTACTGTCATGTTCTTGTAAATCATCAGGTAAGCCAAGACCAGTGTAGCTGACCGGCTGCGACCCATAGCACAGTGAACCAGAACTTTGTCTGTGGAAACAAAGAGAAATGATGCAGAGCTGACACTGAGTAATTCCCCTTTTTTATAGTGAAGATTTCTGTGGTGCCCCTGCTTTCTTTGGTGGCTTGACTATCCTTACCAGCATTTTGCAAGACCCCATGTTTTTACAGGTGGGGAAATAGTAACTGAACACCATCTACATTGGAGATTACTCATTTCATCCTATACCAGGTTGCAGAGAAGGCCCGGGGACTGCAGCCTTGCGTTAAGTAACATTAGCAAGCCCCACTGCACCCTAACTTTATATGCCTCCCAAGTGACATGTTATGTAAATCTGTGTTTGGACATAATGGCCAAAGCACAGGGGTGTGAGAGGGTTCAGTGTGCTGTCAGATAGTCCCTCCATATAAACGGGGTGTACAGAGGTGCCTTTCTCAGTTCTACAAGCTAGACACAAAAGCTGACCGAAGCCAATTATATTTTGTGGTTTTGACAGTAATGTCCTTCGGGATCTAGATTACATCACTTAATGCCCAAATACTTCATTTGCAAAATACAGCTAACAAGGCTTTCTTAAAGCTCAGGAATGTTTTTGAGGGCAGAGGGTAAGAAGGGCCATGGAAGTTACTAGGCACATAACAAGGGGGATAGAAAGAAACCGCTTAAGCCTTAGTCAAGCTTCTTTAAAAATCTGGCTAGTCACCCTGTCATATTGAGTGAAAGTAGCATTTCACCATCACCTCTCTTGAGTCTTTAATATGATCATCTCCTGGCAGTAGTAGCTTGTCTTGTGTAATGCTGGGAACGCAGAATCTCTGCTAGTAGTTTTGTTATCTGAATAGACATGCCTCAAGATTTAGCTTTGTGACATTGTTTGGTTTAACTCTGGACTTCCAGAGGCAGAAAGTATGGTTTCAGGTACTAGCAAGGATGTAAGCCCAAGTGAAACCTTCCCAATTTACTTTGTCTGGGGGAGGTGGAGGTTTCATGTGTTTTCACGTTTGATTAACAGGTTTTGAAAGACTTCAAAAGATTTCCAAAAACTACTTGAAGCCCTTGAGGGGGTCTCACAAAGGGTTGAACTGCTGAAGGAAGTGGATTTGGAGCACTCTCTCTAACACCCTGCTAAGCTGAATTGCCACAGGGAAAAAATACCTTCTCACAGGGCCAATAATAGTTTATCTCTGTCAGCTATGCCTAGTGAGAAGTGTTGGGTGCAAAGCCATGACTCCTGCTGATTAACTCCTTTGCTTCCAGGCACAAAAGGATGTCTTGGCACAAGCAGCATTGGTGTGCAATGGATGCATCAAAAACTGCCAACACTAGAGGATAAATGGTTACAGTCTGCATCCTAATCCCAGCAGATAGTCTTAGAGGCATCTTGGCAAAATTCCAGTCTCTCTGATAACTGAAAGTGCCTCTTCCTCTCCTGGAAAATGATAATCCCTTCTATTATTACTGCAAATATTTGAAACGGATAAAACTCTCATTTGTTCAGCCCTTCATGCTTCTCTTTAGAGCTTCCCACCTTGTAAATGGGTTGCTGTTGAGGTGATAAATACATGATAGGACAAGGAAGGCTTTCCTTTGTGTGGGTAGCAAATGCAGGGGATCTAGGAGAAAATGTACAGTTTTATATTGTTAACAAAGGTAAAAAATGGCTGTACAATGCGGAAATGCCCCCTGCTTGTAGGAAAATGAAGTCTGTCTTTTCTTCTGTATGAATACTTAAAATCTGACTGCCTATTACAGCAAAATGCTGGTACTAACCTACATAGCTGCGTCCGTTCTGTCCCTTTTGTACCTGTCAGTTCTGATGTAAGAACCAGTCTGAATCTTCCTTTTCCAAGATGGAATCCACTCTTGCTCTCTCTGATTCTCACACTTTTATATCCTTCAAGGTATGGCTGAATATGGAATACCAGTGCACAGAACCAGAGGTCTACTGAGTGGTGACAGGTCCCTGAACTATTTTGGTCACTTGACTGTGGCTTGTGTTTCTTGAAAATCTGTCTAGATGTAGTGCTCTCTTTCCAGAGTCAGACGGAGTGATGACTGCTGAGGTGTTTGGTCTTGTCTCTGTCTCTCATGTTCCTTCTCATGTTGCTTTTTTTACATGTATTTTTAGTGTATGTTCTCCCATGACTTTTTCACATGCAAAGAAAATGCTATTCCCTTCTGGTTCACTTTCTGAGGAATTAAGGGACCAAGGGAATGAGTACTGTATCTGTAGCATAGTAGGGAACTTAAAAACCTCTTAAAATAATGTCTTCTGTTTGGGTTAATCAGCCTTGCTGACACAAATTTTAAGCTGTCCTATGGTCTGAATTGCATGGGTTTGGAAATCTTTATGCACAGCTGAACAATAGCATGCATAATTCTGAAGAGTTTTGAGTTTGCCTCTAAAACTACTCTTAAGAACATTGAAAGCAGCTCAGATGCAAGTCCATCTGCCTATGTTTAAACTCTGCAAATACTGCTCTGATCAGGGAGATTCTTCATCATCACAAAGATTTTGAAGGTTAGGTCAGAATTAATGTGTTAGGGACTGTGTTTTGACAGCATCTGAATTGCGAAGCTTTCTGGCCTGTTGCAGGGAAAGTTGTTCCAACAAGACTGAGTGTTGAGCATCTTCCCAGCAAAAGCATTGTATGATGACATCTATTCAATGAATTCAATCACTTGGCTGGCTGCAGGTTGCTCCCCGAGCGATGTGATACAGTCAAAGTAGATTCATTAGGACATGCATTCTGGTCACGTATCAGAATCATAGAATCATAGAATAGTTAGGGTTGGAAAGGACCTTAAGATCATCAAGTTCCAACCCCCCTTCCATGGGCAGGGACACCTCCCTCTAAACCCTATTACCCAAGGCCTCTTCCAACCTGGCCTTGAACACTGAATGTGTAAACTTTTGTTGTTGCCCTTTTCCCTCTCTCAGTATTTGCTCAGTTCTGATGCAAAGTAGCAAAGGAGTGTAATTGTGTTACTGATGAGAACTATTTAGCACCTTATACTGAAATCTCAGGTTGGGGAATAGTTACTTGGTTACTTAGCATGAAATCCTGATAAGGAATATGGTGCTATTTGTCAGGAAGATACATAAAAATAGTCCTGTCCATTAAGCCCTTGAAACACAGAGCACCTTTCTATGCTCAGTGTGCATTCACAAATAATGCATGTAGTTCTTGGAGGAGAGCACTAGTTACTTGCCTCTAGGCTTTTCTCCTGTAACTGTGAGAGACATCAGTCTACTCTTCAGTTTAAGCTTCTGGAGTCACTCTGTTCTGTAAATGTGTAGCAGGAAGCTACTGTCATTGTGGGCCATGCATAGGTGCTTATCTTTGGCTGGGATTGGAGAGGTACATGTTGTGTACATTTCCCTCATGAGAAAGTTAAGAGCTTGTTCTTTTTCTTTATGAGTATTACAGTAATTCCTTATTTTATTGATCTCTATCAGAAAAGATCCTGTCTTGTTTGAAAAACAAAAACATATGAATGTGGCAGGCAGTGCACAGCTGCAGAAATTGCTGCAGCTTGTAGTATGTACTTTAGTGAAGATTTTTTGAGGAAGTTCATCCAGTCACTCTTTGATTTGGCTTTATGTTTCAGTGCTGGACTGGTGCTTGATAACTGTCTTGGAACCTCCTGGACTTTGATACGGTTTTGAAACAAAAACATTAATACTTCCCCCTCCTCCCCATCCTACCCTTCCCTGCCCCAGTGTTTATTGAGATGTAAGGTGGGGGGGTGGGGTGCGGTTCTAGCCTTTGCTGCTTCCTTTGTGCTTATTTCTTTACCCCAGTGCAGCAGAGAAAACTCCTGCGAACAGGAGGGTGGTGGGAGTGAGGAAGTCTGCATTTCTTATTTCAGCTACTCCAGTCTGATACTGACCTCTGCCTTCCAATTGTGGAGGTCACTAGACCCCAGATGCATGTTAGTTGTCCACTCCTTCCCAAAAGCAGTGCTTCAAACATAATTTTTTGAAATGCCAAGTACCTTTCTTCACAAGCAAGAAAGCTCCTGAAACAGTTCCTTCTGCTATTAGTACTTTGATTTTTAAAACTGAGCTGCTTTAAGACTTTATCCTGAACAAGGAAGGGGACTGTTGGTGTTGAAAGGGTAAAATTGTTAAGACCTCTGTAGCTACTGGGGGCAAGCCACGTAATAGCTGGCTACAGCTGAGCTAAACAGCCAAGAACAGAAGCTGACAGAAAGCTGGAAACTTGATATGTGACTCCCTCTGATATTAAGGTCTTTGTAGGTCAGCAGGAAAGTCTCAAGTTTCTCAGATGGTTTCTGGTAAAATACCCTGTAGAGATTTAAAAAAGAAAAAGAAAAAAAACACCCAAACCAAAATGTGGAGGGGGAAAAGGAGTAGGAGTAATCTTGAAAGCCAATGTGAGGCCTAGGCTTTAGCAACTTCACATCAGTGTACAGCTTTCTGCTAGAACACTGCTGGAGGTCAGCAAATAATGAATTGTGATAAGCAAGCTGAGAAATTACAAAGGCTTTAATTAAATGTTTCTAGATCTCTGGTGTCAGAGTTGTTTTGGTCACCTGCTGCTTAAAAGATGGCAAAGGTAAATCTGCTATAGCTTGTGGTAGATTTGATGACCAGGTAAGAAGGTAGGTTTTGTATTTGTAGAGCGAATCTGATGCTGCAGAGCATGAAGCTGTGGAGTCTCTGCAGAGCACTTGTGTTCCATTCCCACTGCTATACAACTCATTAAACCTTTCCTAATAGGGACTAATTTGAGGAAGAGACAGCTAATTCATGGAACCTATGCAATGTCCAGTTGTTTTATGAAAGTGTCGAAACAAAAAATTTGTCAGGAGATAATGCAAGCTGTGATATGGTTTACTGCCAGATGTCCCTGCCTGTGGCAGGGGGGTTGGAACTAGATGATCTTAAGGTCCTTTCCAACCCTAACTGTTCTATTCTATGTGGCCTTTATCAAAGTGCTTGGTAAGAGGCTCTGGGGCTGGTGCTAGTTCTGCAGTGAGAAAGGTCCTTGTTTACATCACCACCTTCTCTTAATCTAGTTTTGTGCTACTAGTTTTATATTCTATGTTAAACTTGGACTTGTTTCCTTCCCACATAGATGCAATGGAACTATGCTTATAATCGGATGGAGTAAATGCTATACTGTTTTTAACCATATTCAGCATCATCCTTACTTCTTTCATCCTGAAGCGCATTATCGATGAATTTAGAAGCTGAATAAAAGAACTGGCTGAGCTTGAAAGTGGGAAGATCATCTGCTTCCACTCCATGGTACTCCACAGCCATGTCATGATAGTATTCTGGTCCTGTGTCCACGTTCCTCTGACCATGGGCCGCGTTGAGGATATGGGTGAAGCCTGCCTTCTGAAGGCTGTAGCGATCTAGTGCAGTTTTCCTGTTAAAACAAGAGCTATCATGTAAGTGAAGAACCACCTTATCCAGCAAGCCAGGAAAAAAAAAAAAAATCTGATTTGCTGCATTCTAAATGTTAATGGAACTGATAATGCTTCGAAAAGGCATCATTTACCCTTGTAAAGATCTTAAGATACTGTCATTTAGAGTGAATGATACTTCTGGAGTTCATAACTATCTCTCCCAGGTCCTTAGAGCACCTTAAAAATGAATTTATTTTCCTGATGCCTTTGTAATGTAGGAAATACCAGCTTCCATCCATCTTATACAAGAAGAAACTTGAGATACAGAAAGTAATAGAATGAATTATTTAAAGTCATAAATCAGTGGCAGAACTTGAAATAGGACCCAGGAATTCTGCTTTCCCCTTCTGTCCCATTAATAGATATTGCAGAACTAATTAGAGTGAGTGGTATGTGAGTAGTAAGATACTTAGGATTCAAAAAGAAGCTCTTTGTCACTAAAAGAAGTTACTGAGTTTTTTCTCCAATTCTGTTTTAAAAAATAAAAGTAATTCTAAATATCACCCTTTTGTGGTCACAGCTCCCTTCCAGGTTTCCTTTTACTGTAGTGTTTGGTTAAACCAGAGGTCTAAAGCAAAAAGAACTAGATACACAATTGCATATTAGCCTTCAGTGAAAGCTGAAATTCTTGCATTTATTGTAATATTCTAATTTATTTTTGTCCTCTCTTCCCTTAAATAAGGGGAGTCAGATAGGTAAGAAAATCCTAGATTTTTGTGGGCCTAAACCCACTGTAAGTGCTTGCCAGCAGTCTGGAATTATTCAGAAAGTGCAGTTTGTAGCTAGGCATGTAAAAACCTTTTTGTTCCATTACAGAAAGCTTTTAGTTCTGGTAAGTTTTGTTCAGGAAAAGCTGTCAAGTATCATTAGTGCCTAGGAGGACTGTTGAGTTTTTTCCCCAAAAAAAATTGCATAGGCTTTATTCTGTTAATGTTTTCACATAACTACTGCTGCCATAAATGAATTAGTGCATGATGTGAAACAGCTTTTTCCAACCAGGAGTAGCTCTCTCCATAATGTCTCCTGAACATTTCAATGTGTAAATGCAGCTACTGCCACACAGGACGTTGCGGTGGGCTACCTATTGTGCTTCATAATTCTAGTGGTGACAGCTCAGAATAGCTTGATGTTGACTCTGCCTTCCCGGCCTCTGTCAGAGTTAAAATCCCCCTTTGAACAGTGATTAGTGCATTTAACTGGGATATAGATACTGAATGTCTTACCTATGCTCACTCTTATCTAATTAAAGCTCATGGTAACTGGCTGTTCTGAGTAAATACTCCTCCTTGCAGAAATTACTTTGTGGACAGGAATGATTATGTCTTCACCCTACTATCATTGTTGTCATGAAGTGATGTCCACTATGCAGTAATTTTAAAAGTAGATAAAAACTCCAGATAGTGTGGTGATGCCTGCCTAAGATCAGTCAACTCTGGAGGACAGAAGCAGCATCTTGCTGCTAGTGCTGTGACTTGACGCCTTCACCTCAGGTTAATTAATGCACAGTCCTTCCCTTCATATTCTTGTTGCAGTGATTGACCTAGAAAGCTTTTGTTTTTCTTCCTTCTTCTAGGAGATTTGTGCCTTTGGATTCTCTTAGAGTGTACATGCGCTCTGCAGTTTGCCAGCAAAGGCACTTCAGTTCTGGACTATATAGATGGCCAGTAAAAAAAAAAAAAAAGAGTAAAGGTGCATGAATAACTACTTCTCTTGGTTTTGATGTGCTTGAGGTGAACTACAGGTTGTGCTTTCAAATTGTCTTATTTTGTTTTACCTCCCTGGTGCGGGGATAGAGAAAATATGTTTTCCATTCACCGGGTTGGCCCAAAGCATGTGTCCAACAAACCATGAAAGACTGATGGTTTCAGGTCAGAGATCTGTGCTCAACTAGAACCCCTGCAGTTGGAGACCTACATCCTGAATAGCAAGTAGGACTGCAGTGTAGTTAGGGTCAGTGAAAAAACAAAGTTTCTGATGGACTGTGGATACTACCAGACGTTAGCTTCTGCAAGTGCTGCTCAGGCTAATAAACAGCATTTGAATTATGTAATGAAATTGTTCTCAGCAAGGACAATGTCAAACAATAGGTTGCATGACAGTCATTAACATTTGACGCTTACATTCCTCTGAAACACAGTTTTCCATTTCCTTGATTAGGTTCTCAGGGGATTGCCTTTTGACACAGTGGATGAAACTAATGCATTTGTTTCTGATGGTTGCACTTACAGTCTTGTTCTGTGTGGAAGGATCTCATTTTCAAGTGTTCAGAGGCACCAGTGTTTCAGTATGTATTCAGAAAGAAGGGATACCATCTTTTCATTAACTGAGCAATCACCTCAGTCTAGCCAAGTACCTGGGAACTTCCTGCTCCACCTCACAGTCTTGCCTGTATCTGCATACTGTGCATTTCGGGGCTGGGATGGAATTAATCCTCCTCCTTTTTATTTAACCAATTAAAGGCAAGGCAGTTGGATGTTCATTTTGCATCACAGTTTGCATTAGCCATTGCTTTGCCCTTATCCTGCTGGAATTAGGGAATATGTATATTCTTACTCTTTTAGTTCCCTCTGTTTTCCATGGTTTGGGCTAAAAATGGAATCAGCAGTGGATCAACCTTGAATGTTGTTGCAAAAAGCCCATTGTAAATGCTCAAGTGTAATGAAATCTTCTGTGAAATATCTACTTTTTCTTTTTTAAGTAAATTATAGGTGTATCAAGGAAATACTTAAGCTGTCTACTTCACTGTTTCTGGCAGCCAAGAACATTTACTCTTTTCATCAATGCTTGGGATAGGCTGAATTTAAAACATAATCTGGTTTTTAATTGCACTTGATATGTAAACAGGTTCAGCAATACCCTTTTGGACTGAATGTTGCCTTGCCCAGTATAATTCTTATCTTTGCAATATGGATGCACATTTTCTTCTTTCTACGGATGTTGCTAATTTAGAAAACTTCCAGAAAATGAGCGCTCAGTGTTGAACACTCAAATCTGTGAAGATCTCCACACTTTCACTGGAAGAGGTACTCAGACAATGCGATGTGTAGCTGTTGTAGAACCTGTCAGTTGAACAGAGACCCAAAATGCTTGCCCTGGCCAAGTGGAACATGGTACGTCCTGTGGGTAGGTATGTGGCTTGTGCATCTGCAGGCTGAGCTGTTGCATGTAATCTGTAAAGTGGATGTTGGTACCTTTTTTCCATTAGATACTGTGGACAATGCGATCTCTGGAAAGCTTTTCCTAAGGTTTTCTAATATGTAATATTGTGTAGAGATCTAATGAAATAGTTACTGTGGGATACAAAATAGGGTTCACTGGACTGCAAGAGGTGCCTGTCTTGGGCTTTAGGATCTGATTAGAAGGAGGTTATGTTCTTTCTCCTTTATCACCCCAGTCTTGCACTTGATAATTATGTTTTCATAAAAGGTACCTCTACTGTCCTTTCAAAAATTTTCTTCATTTTTTTTTCTGTTAAAATCTTTACCCAAAAGCTAGATAAACAACCCAGCTAGACCACCACTTGTCATATGGGCTCAGGTTTGTCTGCTTTTTCACTCCCATCAGCTGTTTTTTTACCTTGTTCTTTGATCATAAATATTACTGGGCAGAGACTGTGCTGAGACTCTGACACTGCCATAATATAGGCAGTTAAACTTGAGGTCATGCTGGATCTGCAGTATGTTGATTGCCAGTTAACAGAGAGCAAGGAGCAGGCTGTTAAGCCTTCATATAGAGGGACCCATATGCCTGTAAATGGAAATGTTACTGTGCCCCTTGATGCGTTTGCTTGGAATGGCTTTAGCGATCAGTGAACTCTAGGTTTGTGCAAAGGACTGGCTTTCTTTCCAACCTCAGCTGAATCTAGTGTTGTGGAAGCATCCCTCGTTACCTGTTTACTAGAGCCTAAATTTTTTGTGTTTCACCGTGCATCACGCTCCTGGTTATGTCCCAAAGAAGGGGGAATGCTTTTGGTCTTCCTTGCAGTTTTTACTATGCCTGAGGTATTGGTATTTTAAATGAAAGGAAGGAATAAATCAAGCATAAATTTCTGCTAATATCCAACTGGTTTAGGTGACTAATAGCATAGGATCATTCAGGGATATATGAATCATAAACCTTATTGGAGAATTTGTAACTCTTACTTCTAATTCACTTTCAGCTAGAAATGGCACAGATATTTTTCCCTTGCAGTTGGCTCACTAAAATAGTTTAATAATCAAGCTAACAGTATTCCTCTTTTCCCTCTTCGGGTGCTGCTGTTTCCTAAATTGCAATTAATATTCACATTTTTGTGATTATGGTTGAGTTTTAAGTAGCCATTGTAAATAAGAGTTTGCTACAAATGCCAGCATAGGTGAAGCCTTAAACATTTAACTACTCTTGTGATTGTTTTCATTTTGTATGTCTCCACCATCTGTGCTCTTAGCGCTTGATTTCTTTTCACATGGTGCAACTGCGGTCTCCAGTGTCTGCCTCAAACATGTTCCTGTGCAGAGAAGGTGAAGTGTGGCACTGGGAGATAACAGTGAAATTTTCAGTGAAATTCACTTTAGTAAAGAGACGAACTAGACAGATTGGTCCTGTGTAAAAACTCAACAGTTCTTCAGTTCAGAGTACATAAACATATGCTGATAGTTAAGCATACCCAGAAGTCCTTCCCTCTATAGCAAAGCATGTTAAGTGAAAACTCAGTGCTTTGCTGAATCAGACCCTGCATTTACTGTAGGACAGATGGACTCATAAACATGTTTTTAAAGTTCTGAGGCAAGGGGGAGTACTTTGATACGGGAATGCCACCTAAAGGGCGAAAACTTGAGATAAAATTACTTTCATGTAGGGACATATTGATAATAACAGACCCTCACTAAGAGGGGGGACTGTCCCAAACAAAAATGTCATCCATTTTCAAATGGTTCCCAGAAGAGTATTTGCATCTCTCACGTTGTGCAAGGGCAAGTTAAGGGCTTGTCCAAAACTAACTGTGCCTGCTGTCAGTTTTAAAGCTTAAGATTCACAGGATTAAAAGCAAGCACTGCAGCAAACTCTCCCTTCTTGTGGAAGCAACTGGAAGCAACAGTGTAAGTAATTGTAGTGTGAAGGAAAATCCTTCCTTTCAAGTTGCCATCTCCAGTGTACCAAATCCCTTCTCTTCTTTTCAAAAATACTGTCATAACATGCTTTAGTCCCAGCTGCTTTCATCAGAAAGTTGCCCAACCTGATGGAGTTGGAAAAGAGGGAAAAACAACTTGTAGGCACTGCAAGCCTGCACCTCCACATCAAATGTTAAGTATATTAAAAGCAGCTAATGAAGAGAAGAGAAGCCAGCTGATGATGAAAACCCAAGTACACCTAAAGGGAGGGAAGTAATCCAAAATGCCTCATGAGGATGTGGGCAGAGCAGCTCCCTTGACAGGTAACTCAGCACCTTACAGCTGGTACTGGTCAACCAGATGACTGGTATGCTAGTAAACTCTTAAGTACAGTAAAGTTTCTTAAGCTTGAGCAATGCAAACATGTTTCAGTATAGACTGTTAAAACCACAGATTGATGTGACCCAGATTGATAAAACACAAGGAAATCTGAGGCAACATGTTACTAGAAGAGGAATCATCTCTCAAACTTTTCCATTTTCTTTAGCGCTGAAGGAAGGCTTGATGCAGGATGATAATTTACCAGATGGTCAGTGTCAGAAAGAAGCTTCCTGAATATAGGCAATACTGACACTTTCTTAAGAAAATCTGGCAGTTCTCCTTCCTGAGGAGAGATGTTGAGAATTTCCAATAATACTGACCCAATTTCCTTTGGTAACTCCAGCACTGAGGGAGTCTAGAGATAGTGAAGCACTGTATCCCTTTTTCCTTCTGAGGTGTTGCTCTGTTTCTGTGGATACCTCCTGTTCAGTGTGAAGAAGAAGAATTTTTAGGTACCGCTGAAAATACTGGAGAGGATCTTTGTAATACGTAGTACAAAAAGATTTAGTAGTCCATTTTCTTCTGGTCCAAAGTGGTGGGGTTTGTTTTTGTAAATGATGCAACCTAGGGACAGGGAATACCTCTCTGCTTCATATGCAGATGAGAGGCATCAAGCCTGACTGACTACATCAAGTGATGTAGTCAGTCAGATCCTGGTCTTGACCTCAGTTACTTGCTAAGTGTTAGGAATCGCCTATGGAGAGAGATGTTGGTATGTGGGGAATTTTTACTTGTCTTGGAAATCACTGCTGCTTGAAGAGGTTTACAGTCCGGTGTTACAGATTTGATTTTCTGAATTGTTAAACTGCTGTTGCAATTGGCAGATCTTCATACTAACAAGGTTGAAACTATGTCCTCAAGAGAGTTCTTATAATCTAAATTTGCATGCACTTCTATTTCTTTATGATTAATACTGCTGTAGATCCTAAGAGTTCATAATGGTAAAACAGTGGGAGGCAACTATTTTCTACCCATCTGTTTTCTTCTACATTAGTATAAATTGACTTTCTACTTAATCTCTTGGAAAAAGCCATACTGTATCCTTTTTCTGGAGAAAGAATAGAGGAGAGAAGGAGCTTTACTTATATTTACCTATATTTAAAGTTTACTTATAGATGTTCATTATCGTGCAGTTCAACCTGTAAATTTGAGTTACTCATGTATCTTGTTGAATCATACCTGTGTTAATTCTCAAGACCCTAAGCGCTGGGGCTGTACTGGGACAAGCACAGACAATGGCTTTCTTGAAGTACAAGTTCGGCTCAGCTGCATATCCAGAAAATTATTTTTCATATTTAACCTGTAAGGAAGTAGATTCCAGAAGACTTCTTTTCCTCTGGAGTAGTTTGAGAACACAGAAAGACCTGAAACTGTGATCAGGCCTTATGAGAGCTAGAGGGTGGTTAAAAGGAAAATAGCATCTGGGAAAGCCTTTGTCTTCAGATAAAATATTCTTTGAAATTCAGAAAAATGGAACCATGATCATCATCTGGGGTAATAAGGCGGTAACTGTTGCAAGAAGAAACTATAAGCTGCATAGCTAGCAGAGGTATTTTCCATGTGATTGCAGTGAACCAAGCAGACTTGGGATTAGCCAGTCAAACTGCCCATGCAAGTAACCCAGTGACCAGTGAAAGAAAGGAACAAGACAAAGCTGCTTTCTATCCCTTTAGGCAGCCTTTAGGTGTGAGGAGGATATATGCAAGCACTAATCCTCGTAGCAGATGAATCGAGATCTTGGCAAAGCTTGTTTTATTCCTATCACTGGGCTGTCTCCTGCAAGTTCCAGTGTCTGGTCTTTAAAAGTCCTTGGAACTTGCTGGAGGAAAATTTCAATTGGAGCTGAACACAGCATGTTATATTTCGAGGCTTTGATTATTCTGGTTCTGACAGGCTCATGGAGATTTCATTGCCTCTGGGCAACATCTGCAGTGAAGCCTTGTAACAAAAGGATTGAGTGGCCTCACAGGGCTCCTTGATAGCCTGTATTGCATTAGAAGGAAGATGTGGTTATGTAGTCAGGTTAATTAATTAGCATTTCCATAAGCAGTCACAAGTCCTGTTAACCTTGTAAATGCAGGAGGCAGGAATGAAGCACAGATGTGAAGGTTCTGAAGATAAACCCTGCATGTGTGTTCACTTGATTTTGTTGATGAGCTCCACTAAATTCTTTCAAGATCAACTTTAATTTAGCATGGCTAAGGATGCAAATGCAACCAACATCTGTTCATGTCTCCATGGCAGCTCTTCAGCAACCAGTGCTACAGCATGATCTTAAAATAAAATAATACAAACTCCCCTGCCACACTGAAGGAGAAAGCTGTTGGTTGGAAGTAAGGTGTGGAGCTGGCTGAGGACAGATACAGAGGTCTGGACTTTGCCTGCTTCAAATGAAATTTTAGTTCTGGTAATGAATGCTGCATCTTGCCTGCAGACCAGACATCATCTTGGGTTTTCTGCTACTGAATATCAAGTTTGCCCCTGTCTGGCTGACTAATTGGTCTCTTTTAGGGAGCCCCATTTTCTGGTGAAGTTTTACTTCTGTTAACTCCCCATCTGCTCCTCAGATCTTTTTTTTCTTCGCCATTAGCTTTCTCATGCTTCTGTCTCAGTCAACTTGAGGAGCTTGTTTCCTCTTGAAGCGCCATTGCTTTTCCTCCTGACTTAAGACTGGTTCGCTGCAGAAATATACTCTCTGGTTTAAGTGGGCATAGCTCAAAGTACCTTTCAAGAAGTTTGGTTTTGCTGTTCCTCTGGTTAGTTTGTACTAAGTGCAGGTGTATTGTATTCAGAGTCACACTTTCCAACATTTATTAAATTAACAAACCACTGCTGCAGGAACAATTACAGGAAAGAGTCAGTGGCTGCTGTCTTGGGCTCAGAGACTGCTGTCCAAGTACCTGTTGTCTCATTAGATTCCTTTGCTAAAGGGCAGAGCTGTAGCTTCATCACAGAGATAATGAAATTCTTCCAACAGCTTAATTCAGAATAATTCTGCTGGTGATTCTGCACAAGAAAGTAGGAAATAAGTGCCAGAAGAGGCTCTGTTTTACACTGAATCTTGAGTTAGAAATATGTAGCAAAAGGGATAGGATAGGGTGGAGAGAGGACAACTCAACCTCCTTTTCTTTGTTCTTGAGTCATTTGGCCAGGCTCTTCTCATGGCTTAATCTCTAAAAGTCTCTGAAAGTGGGAGTCCAGAAATTACGTGTCTTTCTGTTCCCTCTGGCGCCACAGAAGTAATTGGTCGATGATATTAGGAGTCTTGTAACTTTCAAGGCTGTATATCTTTCCTCTTTTATAAGCTGGCAACAGATGAATTTTAGGACCTTTTAAAAAATTATTGAGAACTTTGGAGCCAGTGGGACTCCTGCTTGTGCCTTAACAGTAATGATGTAAAATAAACGTCATGTTAGGGTGTAGAGGAAAATGGGAAGTAGACCAGTAATGCCTATGGGGTAAGCAAAGCACTCTTGCTCTGTTCAGGGGCTTGGGTTGGGGGATTTTCTGATGGCATGTCTCTGGGTTGCAGCAGCCATCTCTGCTTGTTGGAATAGGCTGTTTCTAGTTTAGTCCTGTGCTCAGCAGAGCTAAGTCTGTTTTGTGGGTTTGGGTTTTTTCCAAATCACACTTGGTCTGATCTGGAGCTTTGCCTTCCACAGGGTTCTGTTTGTTTTAATCTCTTGAGCAATTTGGAAGTACAGAGTATTCCATGTACAGAAGCACAAGCTTGGAAATGCAGGAATACCACTGCGAGTTGAGCTGTCCCTTTAATCACTTTTAAAGAATTACGTTTTAGGTTTAAACCAACCTAAGCTGTGGTCAACACATCTAGGTCATGCTCTTCTGTCAGTGTAACTCTGGAATGTCACAAATTACTCCTTCCAATGAGCCATTTAAAAACAGATCATGACTGCCTTCAACCTCAGCAGCCTACACCAGTGCCACAAGTGCTCCTGTTACTGAGACTTGGGCAGTAGACCCTGCCACACTTATTCAGTGCTTTCCTGAGCCAGCAGCAACAAACATGGTGTGCCCATACCTGGGGGCCATCCCAGGCGCTCTGATGGCTCTGTTGGATTCTGGCATCTGTCAGTACCTTGTCAAACCACATCATCACTGCTAAATACTAACGAATGAGTAGTAGGAGGAAAGAAACACTGTGCTCTGTTGGTGAGCTGTACTTAGTGCAGCTTAGTCATCCCCTATGTAAAAGAGATGTGCTATGTACACTTACTTGTCCACTATGTAGAGCAGTACTATGTACACTTACTCATCTCCTATGTAGAGATTGGGCCAGACTTCATTGACATGAGTGTACTGTGGGCATCCTTTCCAGAAGAGACGCTCCAATTCAAATGCACCTGGGGTGGAGTAATCCTCATCAGGATCTACTTTCATTGCTTTGTATGCATTTTTCTTCCCAGCATTCAAACCTGCTGATGACATCTTGTCCATGGAGTAGTGCTCTCGGTTGTGCAAGAAACTGGAATGTAACCAGAACAGAATGTTAAGGTGAATCACAAAGCAGACAACTTCTGCTCCAATTGTGTGATTCTGGGAGCAGCACTGGCCAGGTGTGTTTGGGCCAGGCAAGGAATGCTTTTGGACAAGCTCACCAGCAATGGGAGCAAAAGCCAAAAGCTTGTGATCACTGAAGATCAGTCTCCACCGGGAATTTGTTTCCTGGAAAGTCTACTGGCGCAAATTTATTAGGTCCAAGAGCCTGATCCAAGGGATCTAGAGCAGCCTGGGGAATGAGTGGGGTAAATATGTTTCGTTGTCATTAACTGTGAATTTTGTAAAGTCTTCTCTGTGTGATTTTCATCAATGCAGGGAGGTAAAACGTGTAGATTCAGGTAAGTGTTGTGTGTACCAGTTCTGGGTCTTTAAAGATCTTAATGCAGCCCTGCATGCTGAACCCTGTAGGCTTTTTGCAGGAAAGAGAGTTTGCCTTTTGACAGCACCACTGACTGATTGACAAAATATGTTCTAGCCAGGTTGGGCTCAAGGGCTTCCTTCTTTTGGGGTTCACTTTTTTGGCAGTTTTGGGGTTTTTTTGTTTGGGTTTTTATTTTTTTAACCTTGATGCATACCTGCCAAGTGGGTAGGAAGAAGAAGCGATGCACATACAGAGGGGAGCAATGGAGTAATATTATCCTGTAGATAAAACCAGAATATCATTAATGGTGCTGAAAACAGCACCTTTTGCCTGTCCATGCTGTCAAAGCTGAGTTGCTCAAAACTGACAAGCCTGATGTCCTGTGTGTCTGGGCTATCTGCTAGTGTTAAATCCTTTGGTGTCAGCTTTACACATCTCTTGGAGCTCCAGATTATTTCTTGCTTGCTGTAATTTTCTCAGCTGCTGTCCTGATCAAGGCTTTTCCCTGGGAAGTTTGTCCCCCCTCAGCTGTGGAGTCAGTAGTTAAAGCCCAGTTAGGCTTGTCACTTTCGGCCCACTTTCCGAAGCTCTTGCCTTGCTTAGGAGCTGGGCACTGACCCCAGGAGCAGCCTGGAGTTTTCAAAAAGCTGGTGAGCAAAGTTAAAGGCCAAGGACTAATGTGAGTCTCAATGCATTCCCCATCCATGTCTTTATGAAAACACTGTCTTAGGACGTGGCAGGTAACTGTAGGTTTGCTTTTGGACAGGTGAGTCCATGGGTCCTTTACATCTTCATTTAACTTTTCTAATCTCCTGCAGCTGAAGTATCCCAGGTAAAAGCCCATGAAATACATGTGTGTTGTGGTTTAAACCCAGCCAAACAGCTCATTCACTCACTCCCCCCCCTTCTTGCCCTCCCCCTACTTCTGGAGGGATGGAGAGGAGAATTGAAAAGAATGTAACTCCCACGGGTTGAGGTAAGAACAGTTTAGTAACTAAGGTATAACACAAATCACTCCTGCTACCACCAATAATAGTAATGATAAAGGAAATAACAAGGGAGGAGAATACAACACCTCAGCACCGGGTGACTGATAGCTCACCCCCCCAGCCCGACCAAGCACCGACCGATACTTCCTCCAACCCCCCAGTCTCCTAGCCCTTCTGGGTAACTCCCAGTTACATCCTGGGCATGATGTGCTGTGGTATGGAATACCTCTTTCGCTAGTTTGGGTCAGGTGTCCTGTCTCTGCTTCCTTACAGCCTCCCTCCTCCCTGGCAGAGCATGAGGCTCACAAAGTCCTTGGCCAAACCAAAACATCATTTTTATCAGCTCTGTTCCCAGTCCGAAAGTCAGAACACAGCACTGCACCAGCTACCAAGAAAGAGAAAAATGACTGCTACTGCTGAACCCAGGACAATGTGATACAGAAACCCTTGCAGCAGCAACTGTACCAGCCACTGTGGGCATAGTGCAGCTGCAAGAGTGCAATGCTGTTCTCCTTAGCTCAGGTGTGGCACTGCACTGTCCTCCCAGAGAAGCCAGCTGCTATCCACATTGAGACAAGGGGGGGCACAGAATTACAAGATGGGATATAGAAATCTTTAGAAGTAGCTTTAAGTAATGTTAAGTTTGATGGCTTTGTAACAGTAGCAATGGAAAATTACTGAGGTGCAGGATACATAGAGAAAAAAAATAAGAGTACAGCTAGAGAACATACTGAGAATTCTCACAAGATAAATCGTTATAGTTGACATAGCTTTAAGAAAAAGCAGCCTAGAAAAACAGGACACAGGGATAAGGGGTATCTGGGAACTGCAGGTGTCCAGGATGGGCTACAGTTAAACTAACTGATAAGTAGGAGGATAGGAGGATTATTATGTCTCTAGTGCTAACGAACCAATTAAACTGGTGTGAGCATCTACTGCACATGCTTCAAAGGCTGCCAGAAGTGATGAGGATTGTTGGAAGAAGTAAACGACCCTCAGAGACCACCACCACAATTCTGTATGCATGTGGCGAACTCTCTGGAAAATGATGTAATCCATATGTAACCTCATGAATATGTATGTATGCCCAGGAACTATATAAGGATGGCTTGTATAGCAATATGGGGACACACGTTAGGAGGAGTTATCCCCCGTGTCTCCCGGCGCTGCAATAAAGAATACCTGCTTGTCAGCTTGAAAACTTTGTTGGCAAGTTTGTTCCTGGAGTTTTCTCCGAATCAAAATGCATACAGTGTTGGTGTGTTTAGATGAATGTTTTATTTCCATTTTTTGATGACTTAAAGAGAGTTTTGCATAGGGAGAGCTAAGGTACAGTACATCCATGTATTGTCAGTAAAGAAGAGGCAAAACAGTGATTGACAAGTGATAAAGGTGTACATGAGAGCTTTTCAGTCCAAATTAGCAGCATTCTGCACACTACCAGACAAAATACTCATGTCACAGGTCTAGGCACTATGTCAGAGAATAATTATTGAGGGACATGGGTGTTACAATTCATGTCTCCTTTGTTTTCTTCTGTGGCTGAAGGCAAATCACCTTTTGTTCTGCATGTTGTCAGCAGGAAGTTAAATCACTCATGCTGCTGGTCTTTACAGCAAACCTCTAGGAACTGGAATCTGGGGCTGTCCACGTGTCTGGCCTCCTATTTACCCTGTCGCCAGTTGTCACCTAACTTGTCCTCTGAAAAACGTGTCTTTTTTTCCCTTGTTGCCAGCCTTCTGCTGCAGACTCTTGCCTGCTCCATCTCCCTGTTGGGTCTGTCTTGTCTTCTGTTGCACTCCCTGATGTCTCAAGACAGCAACTGCTTCTGTCTCTCATCCCCTTGAAGGGAGAAGTTGAACCTTGCAGTTCCGTAGGAGACTTGTAAGAAGAGGAGGTGGATTTGGGCTTGATCTTATGAAATGTGCAAGTACAGCCTGCCAAAAATCCACCTTTCTTGCAGAGAACAAATCCTGTAGTGGCTCCCACAATTTTTTTTGTGTTGGCCACTAGTGATGTTTGTGTCCTTTAATTACAAAAATCTGGCTAATGCCTTCATGCAGCTGTTGTAGAACTCTCCTGAAAGCAGAATGACCATTTTTCACTGACATCCCATGTACCCATGGGGTTTGTTTCCTCAGTTTGGGCTCTTTTGTGCCTGTCATGTTCTGTTTCTCCACAAAAGTTAAAAGCCAAATGATTCCTATTTTCCTACTCCAAAGCTAGGCAAAATTGTGGAGTCAGTTTTTGTTTGGCATGTGTACACCTTTGTTCAAAAATTGGCTTGCTTTCACTGGCAAGGGGATCTGTCTTTCAGCCAAGCTTCCTAAAACATGATGATGATGTTTAGCTAAGTGGTCCTCTGCAGAGATTTGTAGAGGGCTCTGAGAATTCTAGCTTTTAGCAGATTTACCTTGGGCTTGGTCTTGCCTGCCTCTGAGCAGCACCGAATCCCATCTCTGTGCCCCCAGTAGACATTCCCCAGGAGAGAATTTTACGTTTCCATGCCAGAATTATGCACATTCTACATGCAGATTCCACAGTATAGATAATGTTAAGATAGTCAGAGATAGAAATCTAACACAGTCTGACTTCAGAGTGAATAGGCTGTTATCTAGAATTTGATAAGAACTGCTATCTGTCTAGCAAGGAATTATTTGTCTAGTAAGGAATTATCTTAGCTGAGAGCCTGCTGCCTTCATGCTGAAGGACTGACTATGGCTTTATTCACAGCTGCATAAAATGGGAGGGGGGGAAAGGAAGGGAAGAAGAGAAAGCAATGTAATTGGTAATCGTGCTTGGTGGCCACAATGCATTGATTTGTTACACCAATAGTCCCTCCTCGTAGACTGCAGACCTCAAAACAGGGCAATTACATGTGCAAATGATCGTTTGTGGTACTGTGACACCGCCTCGCTTTGAAGCTTTGTTAGCACTCTGAAAGTTAGACTGCTGCTGAGAAATACTCGTTTCTGTCCTGGGAAGCCATATGCTCCCTGAACTTTCAAGTAAGCTATGTTCTTTTATGCCTTGCCAATGTTATCTGCTGCAGGGATTCTTAAATTGAATTAAAGCACAGGAAAGCATCAGTTGAAATTCTTCTAGTAAAATATGTATTTCAGATTTGACTCTAGACTAAGTAAGGAATAACAGAGTTTAACTGGAAGGGGGAGAAAGGAGGGTGCTTTGCTACTTGAGCTCTGGAATTAATTGCCGTGAAGCGTCTGGTTGGGGGGTAGAGGGATGGAAAAGCTTGTGTCTTTCCAGGAACCAAAGATGTGTAACCTCATCTGTTACTGACTTTTCTGTGTACACCAAAGGGAGCTGAGGGAACACTGTTCCCCAGGCCTGCCCGCTTAGGTTAAAAAGTGAAAAGTAGATTGGATTTTTTTTTTTCATGGTGGTTCTTAAATGCTGTTATGGATATAAGGATGACTGTCTGTGTAAAGATGACTGTCTAGCACAAACCCAGGCAGGAAAAGCTCAGATTTCTTTTGCAGACCTCTGGGGAGAGGAAACCGTTCCTTGCAGGGTGTTCACCTGGTACAGTCAGATGGCAGATTGCAGGGTTAGCCCTGCACAGGCTCGTTGGAACAGTCTCGAATCCCTTGCCCTGCTTCGTTAGGGCTAAAATGCTTTGCTTTACAGACTAGTTAGCATAGGCTGAGTGATGTAGCAGTGCAGCTGTCCTGTACCAGTTCAGCAGTCACTTCATGGCACCACACTGTGCCAGGAACACACAACCTGCGATATGAAAGCTCTCTGCAGTAGGCACAGTCCTCATGCCCTTTGTATGAGGAACTTTGCATCCTGCTTGCCCCTGGAAGTGGTGCTCCAGCACCGGACAGCCTGTCTTACTTCATGGGGAGGGATGAAGAGGACAGTCAGCTAGCAGGAACTGCCCTTATTCCAGAGAGGCTCTCCTTGGCTGAAAGGTTTGAGCCCAACTTAGGAGTATAGTGAGGAACAGAGCCCTGCATCTGGGCCCAGGAATTACCTTCCAGGGAGGCAGGGCAATCTGCAGTGCACCCCACTCCTCCCTTGTGCCCAGGCCGCAGCTCCTCTCTTGCTGTGCTGTGCTGTGCAGCATCCAGCCTGTGTGAGCTGCTGAGACCTTCCTGTTCCCTCTCTGCCCACACTGCAGTGGCTGGGTCCACCTCAGTGGGACAAGGTTCCGATGCTCAAGCCTGTGAGGTTTCGACTGCCAAGCCTGATGTCCTGCAGGTTCTGCTTCTCAATCCAGTGTGTGGATATAAAACGGAACTGCTGGTGCTCACCAGTTATGCTGTCATGGGCTTAAGTGTATTATCAGAACAAGGATGATAAAAATTCAGTCATCTGCATTTTTATACCCTAATCTTTCTCTTCATAAATAAGACCAAAGTGCATGTTATCTAATGAATTTTATTTGTTAATCACTTAGATGGCTGGAATATTTCTCCCCCTTGGGTTATATGTATATAAATGAAAATATTGTTAGTGATTTCACAAAATGGTAATTCAGAATAATGGAGAGTTAATCCTCTTTTCATTAGTGAGCCACTTCAGGACATACACTGTGGCAAATTACACTGCATTTTAAGTTGTTCTCAAGTGCTGTGCACTAGAAGAAAAACATTAAACTATTTTTGCATTGATAGAAGTAATTGTGTGGCTAATTTGGATAAGCAGCATGCATTAGGCGCAGCAAAGGAATCTCTTCTTTATGTTCACTATCCACTCTACAGCTGCCAAGTGGAATTTCATATAGAGCTCTCTAGCTTTTTTATATTTAAGAGAACAGGGAGAGAGAAAATAAAGTGCAAAGGGTATAAAAAAAAAAAGGAAAAATCCTCCCCTTATTATACAGTCTATCTGCTGTATAATTCAAAGACTGAACACAGCCTAGTGGCTGGAGCAGTGATATGGCAGTGAAAGATTTCCTTTCTGCACCTTGTTCTGAGTCCCTTGAACTACTCAAATTAACCCAGAATTTCCAGGAAAGCCCTAGAAAGTCACAGAACATAATGGTCCATTTTCAAGTTGGTTCAACGGAGGGGGATGTTCCTCCTACACCCCAGAATTTGTAGGGGGTTAGTTAATGCTTTTGGAAACACCATGCATGGGCTCTGCGGTTTGGTAATCCCACAGTCTGGGGGGACTGAGGACTGGGGTTCACATCTAGAGGTGAAGGTCGGAGCTTTGGTGGTGGTGTGTACATTTCTAATGCTGGTTTCCAGATGTAGTGGAAGTTTCTGAGTACTTTGAGTCCAAAAGCTATAAGTCATTATCTACATAACAAAATACTATGTTTCTTAATATTTTTGGCTCAACATGCTGTGCAAGCCTCAGTGCTGTGTATAAAGATGCCAAACAATTTGGCAAGATTTATGCCTGGGAGTGAAGATTCAAGTCAGCTGTAGAGATTCAAAAAAAAAAAAGAAAGGGAAAGCAAAGTAAAGAGCCAGACATGCACAGAAAAGGATCGTCCTTCGCAAGGACCCATGTAACCTCTCCCCTTCTTTTCTGCACCCCTCCCTGACCCATGGGGGTGCCTCCATCACTGCTGTTGTCCCAAGTATATGTACTTTCTTCCAATTTGTAGCTGTGTTTGTGTGCCTGAAGCTACAGGTCTCTGATAAGGTCAGAGCCCAATGGTGTTGCTACAAATGTACAACTGAGCGAGACTAAAGAAATAAAAGGTGGGAAGAAAAATGGAGTAAACAATTTTCCTTGCTCTTTCCTTCAGAAGGAACAACTGCAATCCTGTTAGCTATTCTGTCTTGTCTGTCATAGGGCACAGGGCTTCATTGCCTTAATGCCAGCTTCAGCCCATATTTATATAGCAGAATAGTTTAAATTCTTTCCCACCCATATTTACTGATCTTGGGAGTTCTCCCAGACCATATTACATCAATCACCTGTGCTAGTGGGGCTTTTGATCCTGGCTTTATTAAATTCAGTTCGGTGTGCACAAGTGTACCAGCTGTGGGTTTTTTACTTGTCTGAAAGATGCTGCTTCTGAAAATACCAAGCAATCACAAATTCTTACGGTTTAGCTGGGAACTGACAGTTTTCAGCATTGGCAAACACCTAAATGTATAACCTATTTGTAAATGTGGAGGCAGATCTTAATCTTACTCTTGTTTTAATGCTTTCAGGTTTTGCTTCCTACCTCTTTACTCATCAGAACTCTGATAAAGTGCAGTCTGTGGTATCTTAAGGGTTGGGTTGTTGGATTGGTTTGGGGTTTTATTTTCAAGATGCCAAGGGAGGGATAGAAAATAACCAAAGCAGACTTACTCTCTGTCAGCTCTGGGCCTTTCATGGGAAGTCTACACAAGTAGAATCATAGAATCATAGAATAGTTAGGGTTGGAAAGGACCTTAAGATCATCAAGTTCCAACCCCCATGCCATGGGCAGGCACACCTCACACTAAGCCATGTCACCCAAGGCTCTGTCCAACCTGGCCTTGAACACTGCCAGGGATGGAGCATTCACAACTTCCCTGGGCAACCCATTCCAGTGCCTCACCACCCTAACAGGAAAGAACTTCTTCCTTATACCCAATCTAAACCTCCCCTGTTTAAGTTATAGATCTTATGCCCACAGCAGTGCAGGAGGAGATAAACAGGGTGCCCCTGAAATTAGCCAGTGGTTTGACCCTCAAGTCCGGGGACTGAATTTATCTATTGAAAAAAGTGGAAAAAAAGGCCCTGGAATTATGATTAAGAGATTATTTATTTGTGTGAAGTGCTTGTTACTGAGAAATTATTCTCTTTTCTGATGCACGGAGAGATGACTTACATTTTTATCAGGTAGGATTCAACATCACTAAAATCAGAGGACATCTGTCTTACAGAAGGTCCAAACCTGAGACCTTCTTGGCTTCCAGACAACTGCAAAAATGCTTTTATTTTTATTTACATTTTAGCTTTATAACTACCTTCATGGAGAAACACGTATGTACAAGAGAGGGAAGTATCTAAGAGAAGGTAAGCATGGAGAATACCAGTTCTCCTACACTTTCAAGAACATGTGCAAAAGGCTTGAATCTAGTTTGGTAACCTGACTCCAGGTAAGACCTCTCAGTGCTGAAGGTGGACAAAAATCAGATCTAATGGCTGAGGGTCTTCTGAAATATGAGGGAGAATCTATTTATTGAGCAAGTTGTTGAATACTTAAGGTATGTTCTGTTTTTCCATTTCCAGCCAGCATGCCAGGTACATACCTCCCTGCAGGGTGAAAAAGTACTTACCCTTTTTGAGTATGACTAAGCAGAGAGCTGCTTTATAAACTGGAAAGTTCTCCTTGCAGAAGCCAATGCACATGCTGTCTGGAGAGCAGCGTTTGCACTTGGGAGGAGGGTAAACAGTGCTTTGGTTTCTAAGCTTTTCATGACTCAAAGTACATCAGTTGAGTTTAGAGTTGGTTAGCTGCAGTAACAAAAGCTTGCTTTGTCAGATGGTTTAACTAAATGAATTTAAAGCGGTGCTCACTGATATGTTACCCTCATGACATTTTACTCAGACCCCAAAAGCTGGCAAAAGCTGTATGCTTCCTGTGTAACTTGGCACTGCTGTACCCCAGGGAACCGCAATGAAGTGCGGCACTGCAAACGTTCCTTAGGTGGCTTTTACCCCCTAACACTAGACCAAAAAACTTAATTTTGTACAAATACGCCTTGGGGGGGAGGAGGAGTAAGTCCTTTCAAAATAAATCTTTCTCTAAAAGAGCCCAGAAACAATTAAGCAGAGTGTTGTACATCCAGAACTGGAAATCCCTGGGGTACCTGCAGTATACTTAACTCAATCCTGTGTTCCTTGTTCTGTCCTAGGCTTCAGCAAGAACTGTCATTTACTTCAGCTCTTTTATCTTACCCTGCATTTTTATGCTGGAAGTGTTCAGGGACTGTAAAATGTTTCATCCAGTGCATTTGTCTTTAAACAGTGAAACTAGAGAAATCACAGCCTCTGTGAAATTACTTCCCAGCCCCTCCTGCTGTGAATATTCAAAACTAACCAGCTATTTCAATGAATTTCTAAGCCACTGATGACTCTTTAAAAACTTATTTTTTGCCCTCATTCTTTATTGTTGACTGAACTGGTTAATGTAAAACAGATTAAGCTGAGATTTCATTAAATATTATGAGAGTGCCCAAAGAAACTTAAAACACAGCATCATCTGAGAGAATTGTAATTCAGTTGGAAAAGTTAGATTTGACTGGAGGGTGGAATAATTAGCAAAAAATAAGCAAAATGTTCTGGGACAGATGTTACAAAAGCTTGAAAAATTGCACTTTTATTCCTAACTTTTAAATTGAAATTATCTTTAAGATAAATACAGTTCTGGCACCTCATTTCCTTGTCTATAAAGTTGTTTCTGTAACATGACCAATTGCTTTACTAAAAACCTAAAAATTATACTTTAACAGCCGTTTTGACTCTCCGGTAGTTTTAAGCCTTTTTTTCCTCTGTGACAAGCTTGTGAAGTTATAAGTTCCCTTAGAAAGTTTGCCAGCTCTCGGTCCTCTCCCTACTTTAGTAAACTAGGTAATAATAGGAGGAAAAGGAGCGCAAGAAGTATAGCAGAAAAGGTATATTGCTTAGCCTTACCTGTAACCTTAGGTGGGTGCTCTGGGTAGCTGAGTCCCGTTAAGTGTGGCAGAACGACAAAAGAAATCTTACCAACTTTGCCACTGGAGTCTATTTTTAGAGGAGGATTTGCTGCCTCTGACCTTGAGTGCTACCCACTCCAAAAGGGTGATCTTTACATCTGCTGGTAAAACTATTCCCTGATGTGACCCGAAACATTAAACCTGATAATTTAGTTACCCAGCCTTGGTATGACTAAGATAATGTCATCCTGTCTGTTGACTATAATAAAACAAAAGTCATCTTTTATCTTCTTGTCCCTTGTCAAGCCTGATGCTATGTTTACTACTGCATGTGGGTTAGGAGCATTGCAGTGCTGTTTTCTGTCATGCCCTGCACAAATGATTTGGCACTGGCACAGCAGTGGGCAGTGGGAATGCCTGACAAGACCCTCATCTCTTGTGTGCTCACTACCATTAAAACATCTTCCCCTGCTTGGTCAGGTTGATCAAAGGTCAAATCTGGTTTCCCCAGTGTCAGAGCCACACCTCTTCAGCTCCAGCATTTTTGTCCACTGTGAGTGTGGTAACCTTATTAGCCCACAGGGCTGTCTGCTAGAGGGATCAATGTTCATGAGAGAAGCTGGTGCACAATATCCTCTCTCCAAGCATTTGTTCTGCAGCAAACCAAGCCTCAGTGTTGCCAACTTGGATGACATCATTGAGATTAATGTGAATTTGGTGTTGCTGAAGCCAGGCTTCTGATGACGTCAGAAGCTCCAACTGTCACTTGAGTATCCATATTTCTCAGGGCAAATTCTTCAGATCCATCGCCTTCTGCCAGGGGGTTGGGGAAGGAGGCAAAGGGGTCAGTCTGCATGAGTGCATGACACCGGGAAGTAGCCCATTGGTCTCTGCACCTGCTTTCTGGAGCCTCCTGGCCCCTTCTGTTGAGAATGGTCTCTCTGAGCAGACCTGTATGTGATGCTTGCTTGTCTTTCTGACTTGCAGCGCTCCCTACTTTCACCCTCCCTTAAAAATATATAGAAAGCAGCCAGTTGTTGTTGAATACCCACTGTGGACCTTTTCTCATCTCTTGCAAAAACAGGAACAGTCTTCAGTGAATGCAAGTGCCTGTACTTGACCAAAGTTTCAGGTTGGCCAGCCATTTTTTCCTGAAGTATGCAAGTCCCGTGGTAGGTGCCATTAATTTTCAGTGGGACACAAGTTTCTCTGTCAGTTATTTTTAATGTTACTTCAAATCCTTCCAACTACCTTCATCATCCCCTGCCTGTATAACAGATAAAAGTTCATCCCAGAAGGACCAGGACCAGACTTGGTCATGGCCTGTGTCTAAAACTGCAGTACAGATGTGAAGTGATAACAAACAGTTTCAGTTCAAGTTCTGGGCATTGGATCTGCTGCTGTTTCATGCTAACAGCATCACTCTAGCCAAGTTTCTGTATTACAGAGCAGCCAGGCTCCTCCCTGCCAATTATTCAGATAGCTGCTCTTAAAATGAGAAAGAGCTTAGATGTTAGAAACCTGCTGTGTCTTCTAAGTTACCTTGGAAGGTTGTTGTGCAAATTAATTCTATACCAGTAACAGAGACGTTTTGTGGAGAAAGAGGTACAGACCCCATATAACAGAACCTAGGAGGGATTGGTTTATTTTTACCCTTGCAGGCAACGCAGTCTGGGTGAATATGGGTAAGATGATACAGCAGACCAGCAGTGCTGGTGCGGGAGGCTGCTCTGTGAGGTGTGCAATGGAAGGTCTGTGTGCTGCGGGTGGTGCAGCATGGGGATACGCAGTGGTCTGTAGCTTCTATTGGGCTGTCACTCCCCAAGGTTGTCTTTCTGATGTCAGATCGATGGCATGACAGTGTTTTGTGGTATTGTTTTTTCAGGCTGGCACGTTGAGTTCCAGGAATATTAAGTTGAAACAGAAGTATTTGTTTGTCTGCGTGGCTGTCAAAACAATATGAGCCCTTGTGCCCCTCGCTCTGTAGGGTCCCAAGAATGCATAGGGAGGGATCATTCTACTCCTGGAATAATGTTCTATTTTGGGGACCAGTTTCCATTAGTGTGTGTGTTTCCATTAGTTTTGCTCTTGTTAAATAAAAAATGCTAGCTGATGAGATGTTCTGTGAGAGTCCAATGACTTACAGTGCTGTGGAGCCTGGACACATGGAAAACACACCAGGAAGGCTCTTATTTTGGAGGAGGTAAGCACCTGCCCTCTGGAAAGTTGAATAGTTGCCTTGGGCTCCTAAAAGCAGATGTTTGCCATGTTATTGAACACTTCTGAAAACCTTGGCTAAGCTGATGATGGTGCTTTGAACATGCAGTTCACTCCCCCTTCCCGCAGCCTTGCATGCATTCAGCTTGCTCTTGCTCAGTGTGCAGATCCCCACTCCTGCCTGTGGTCACCCACTGGCCTGTGTGCCTGTCTAACCAAAGCAACTGCAGCAGGCCTAGAACATGACCCTGGGTAAAAATTCATTATCCCTCTACATTTCATGTGTATTCTGAAAGTGTCTAAAAGCCAACCAAGAATAGGCCAGGCACTATTCAGATGCATGCTAAAAGACCATTCCTTCAATTCAGAGATGATGTTCTAGATAGAAAGGCTTAGATGACACCTAAACAGAGTGAGAAATTGTGGCCAAAATATCACTGACCAGCTTCCTCAGTGGCAGTTTCTGTGGCACAGAGTATGGAAGCTATTGAGAGCTAAAGGCCCATGCAGGGAGGGAAGAAGTGGGAAGTGGGGAGAACAGAAGTTTAAAAAAGGGGAGGAGGGCAAAAAAAACCTTAGGAGGACTGAATTTCTTCAACAAGTACTGAGTAAAGAAAAGGAGAAGGGAGAGAAATGACAGATTTTTGTCCAGACCACACTAGAGGTACAGTTGGAAAAATCTGACACTCTTATTTTCTAAGGCTTGAAATTTTTATGTTACTTTAAAGTAAAAGCTTCGAGTAAAGCTCTGCTTTAGCAGACTTCTCCTCCCCCCCCCCGATCCCAACCTGGTGGACTGGAAGATTTCCTCTTCGCTACAAAATACGCTATTATTTGGGAAAGCTGGGGTTTTAACAATTGCATGGGAAGAATAAGTATATAATTATATAAGATTGGCCTAATGGACATTTGCAGCTGTACTGAGATGCTAACAGCATGCAGAAACCATTATGTTTCCAGTTGTTTGGCAAAAGTTAAGAAACCTTATATATATATATTTATATATATATATATTAAAGTTAACCATAAAGTAAATCCAGATGGTTCTCTCTTGCACAGACAAGCAGTCTTCAGACTAGACATATAGTTGTAGCCTGGCTATAACTTGTTTTGATTACTGCAGATAAAATGTTTTAAATGACTGCGCACCCTCTTCACAAAATGCTGTGTGCCCTTGATTCTTGCTGAAGTCAACTGGCGTTTTTGCAGCACTACATAAAACTTGTTTGACAATACCTTGTGTGCATGAGTATGTAGTTGGGTATTACTTGTTTAATTTCTCCTTTCTACTGAAGTATTGCTTAATGGCCCCCATCAGGGGTTTGGGCTCTGCTGAGGCAGGCATTGCAGACTCATAAAACACAAAGGACAGTTGCTGCCCTGTGCAACCTCCCGCTTGAGCCTGTTCTTGTCTCTTCATCTCCTAGTTAAGGATTGCTGGAAAATATTGGTTGTGTGCTTATTTTTGATTGATGTACTCGGAGTTTTATTTGATTCTTTAATAAGCATTGTCTGTTGTGTTCATTACTCCATTTCATCTAGACGTCAGTTGTGCTAGCTTCTATCAGCAGGGGAATCAGAATTACGTTGCCTTGCGAGACCATCCTGCAAATCAAATCAAAGCAGCAGCTTTGCTTTACAGGGCAAAGATTTAGGTGTCTGAATGTTTTAAGTCAACACATTAGGAGCACTTCTAAAGTTCTGAAAAAAGGGGAACTGAAAGATCCATCAGAAATTATAGATTCATGGTATGTTACTTTTTATGTTGGCTTCTTGGGTGTTTTTTAAGTCAATAAGCAAGTGTTCTTGTAGATAACAGTTGATGTTGTTTGTCCAAGTAGTATAACAAGTAGGAATACTGTTTTATGAGCTGCTTAAGCAGTATCGTCAGAAGGGCAAGTTGGATTTGACCTGGTAGGAGTGAGAATTAATGGCTGGTGAGTCTCTTGCTAAATCTCTGGCAGGGCTAATAGCCCAGCAGTAGTGGCTGTGTTTGTAGGACAGTATTTGAGGCTAGGGGTGAAACAAGCCTCCCTGGGGACTAGGAAGGAAGGACCCCAATCCTGAACAAGGTTCCCTGGCCTTCCCTGGGCTTGTGGGGGGGAGGCTGAGGCCATGGCTCTGAAAGGCATTTAGTTCACTGTTCTGCTTTTTCTCTCACTGTCAGCAGAAAAAAATGTTCTGGGAGATTTGTGTTGAAATGGAGTATAGATCCCAAGGCACAGTAATGTGGAAAATAAGGGATGAGGGCTTTGTTGTAACCTCCCCTTACCAAAGAGCGCTGGGAACAGGAAGAGCATGGGGCCCCAAGCTGCTCACCCCTGTTTCCCAGTCAGTGCTAAGAGGTAGTCCTTTGAGAAGAGAACCTACCGTGGAAATCCTACACAGAGAAAGTATTAACCATTGAGTATATACTTCTGTGCAGGGCACCCTCATGTGCTTCTGGGGTCCGAAAATGGGACACTTCCAATTGGTCATAACATGTAAACTGCTCTACAAAGAAAATGGCATTCCCAAAATTCAAGGTGGTTTTGTCCCTAAAATCCCACAGTATCACACACACAGGATTGCACTTAAATTCTCTTGACAACATGTTGGAAAACCGTCACAGTCTGTTTCTACTCTTGTTATTCATTGGGGTAGGAAAGGTTTTACTTCTTCTTCTCTATTTCCTTAATAACATATTGCTGCGGATTCCAGAAACGTGTGGTCTAACCCATTCCCTAAGCATAGCATGTTTGAAAAAATAAACAAAAATAATAGATACTTGGTATGTCACTCTCATCAGAAAGTTTTGTCCAGACATGCTGAGAACAGGTTTTGGGTCAGCATAATCTCATGGTATACAGCGTGCCAAATCCAGACTTGAATAGAGCTCAGAGCCAGAAACTGGATTGATGTTTACTGGGCTCTTCATACAGGCTTCTGACTCATTGGCAGTGCAGATGAGGAAGCACAAGAGCT